GCCTTTTGGTTTGGTGTTTTATTACATTTTAGGCATTTTAAAAGTTTACAAAATGTTCTTAAGATTTTTAAAATTGTATTCGTAGTTACCTTGCTGGGGGCCGCGGTGTGTATCTTCTTGAGTGTGATGTTTTTGATGTATATATTTATATGTATATTAGACAGAATACTGCGTTTTAATTGGGTGTTTTATTACATTTTGAGGCTTTTAAAAAGTTTACAAATCTTCTTTTCATTTTTAAGGGTTTTTTTTGCCTTGTGTGTATTTTCTGAGTGTGTGAGGGTGTATTGTTTTATTGTGTAATATATTATATGGTATATTAATGATAAATACTGCATTTTATTAATTTTAGCATTTTAAAAGGTGTTTACAAAATCTTCTTTCTATTTTTAAGGGTTTTTTTTGCCTTGTGTGTATTTTCTGAGTGTGTGAGTGTGTATTGTTTTATTGATGTATATATTTATATGTATATTAAGATAAATACTGCAGTTTTATTAATTTTAGGCATTTTAAAAGGTTTACAAATTTTCTTTCTATTTTTAAGATTTTTTTTTATTGCCATGTGTGTATTTTCTACAAATTAAAAATACAAATATAACGATCATTTGCCAGAAATTATTAATTTTTTAAGCCGTGGATAGAAATGTGCCAATGTTTAAGCAATCAAAACGGGTAGAAATGATGCCAGATATTTATTAGATTTTTGTCATTGAGTTGTCTTAAGTGTTCACCTGATGTCAAAGGCTGTAATTAGGGATATAACTGTGACTACCCCTCTCATTATCTGTTAAATATGTTTTTAATTAATCGATTGGTGAATAAAATCATCATACAATAAGTTGTATGATGATAAATTGTATTTTCTGACTGTGTTTTACCTATTTTTTTAACATCTTATATATAATCAATAAATCTCATCATATGTTCAATATACAGTGGTTGACTAAGTAGTGTCATTAACCCTGTAACACTAAAACTTCCAATTAAAATTTACAGTATAAAATACAGACTGTGTTTTAGTATGTACATTATCCATCATTGTCAAATATTTTACATTATTTGATTTATTTACAACTCAGGACCATGATCACATGGTACGGAGCATTAACAGAATATACAGTAATAACAAAATGATAGCACACATGGTATGTCTAAAGTGTCTAAAGTTTTTGACTGATGAATACTGTACTGTGAAGCATTAAAAAGCTATAAAAAACACTTATTTTCTATTCAGTTTGAAGTATTGACATTGAAAAATTATATCCATGACTTCTGTAGTAAAATGAGACCCTGTTGTTGTAAAGACACACAAACTACAGAGTTCTCCAAATGTCACTTGTAAATAC